TCTTAGTGGTTATCCATAGTACAAGAAGCAGACAGGATATCCTGTCCAAACACTATTAGTACACCTCTTTCTTCTCATTGAATTAAGCGAAAGTAGCTGTATATCTCTCCTAACTACTTTGTATATATAAATACAAAGTGATCTTTCCTTTGTATCCCCCTTTTTTTGTTTAGTCTTCTCAGAGGTGGGTATTCTATTGGCATCTAAATACTATAGGTGTTTGAATTCAACAAAACAATCCAACACTGTCTAGCAGTCTATAATATTAGTGGGTTATCCTCAGAAGTTAATTGACTTGAGCCTTTTACAGCTCATCATATTAATATGGCTTTACTTTATATACCTTGTTTTTATACTTTTCTGCTGGATGGTTAAGACCAAGGTAAAGCAAAACCTATATAACAAGAAATGTAACTTCTGTATCTGATAAGGCCAGTCAAGTACCCTCAGGATTTATCCTGTAACCCTGTACTGTACTTTGTAGATCCTTGGTCAGTGTCAGTCATGTGGATGCATCATGGCCATTGCTTGACCAATTTGCTCTCTGTGAAAGCCTGAGAGAATGTTTTCTCTCCATGTGACTCTGACCCCGGGCACACTATACATCATCGATCACATTCCTCTGTGGCTCCATAATCTCCTTGATCCAAGTTGTGATCGTCAGGCCTACCCTGCACACCTGCTGGATTTACAGCCAGCTAGCACTGTTTCTCTTTTAAAAATTGCATCTTGTGCTAACAGTTACTTGCTTTCGCTAAAGAAAATCTAATATTTTGAGTGGATGTTCTGGCTATACCACAACATCATAAATTTCTGTTTTTCTTCTATTTCTAGATTTGATAAATGGACTCCTAGGTTTTTTTTGTTGTTGTTGTTTTGTTTTGTTTTTGAGACATGGTCTCACTGTGCAGGCTGGCTTTGTGCTCAGTTTTGTAGTTCCCAGGCCAGTCTCAGGGAAGCGCTTATTCTACTGAGCCACCTCCCCGGTGCGGCCCCCCCCCCCCCCTTTTTTTTTTTTTTTTTTTTGCAGAACTGGGGATTGAACTCAAGTCCTTGCACTTGACCAGGCCA